CTCAAAGCACTCAATGTAGGCTTCCCTGTTAAATCTGAGGCCCAGTGGGAAGCTGAAGGAAGGCATAGCGTCATCATCATTAGTGATCACAATGAACCCCTAAAACGGCGACAATTTACCCATCGCTCCCTCTATTGTTTGTAAGTCTAGACTTTATGCATTATGTTCCAAACTGTTGTTTTTCTTTTCTTTTCCTGAAATGTTTTCTTCTTCTCACAGCTAAGGGTTAAATAACACAGTAGATTTGACTCTCTAGACATGAGCGGCAGTTAACCAAGAACGAAAATTACTCTAAATTCAAAACCATGGAAAAATTTACGGGAATGATTTCATTATCTTTACCCAAAAATTAATGGCAATTCACAGCTGATGAAGAAGAGGAGCGATGTAGAGCCATAATCGCTTACATCTTGAAGTCATGGTATTAAATAAAAATAGAAATATAACTGTGAATTTGAATCGACCTCGCTTTTTATCGCTTCTTCAATCGACCAGTTTCGACTTCGTGCCTTAAGTTTCGCAACAGTTATTTTTTTTATTGTCAGACAAATTTCTGAAATTGTGTCTTTTACTCCTACGTATGGATTAAATAACATGATATACTGGACTTTCTAGTCAATTTAGATGAATGTCTACTCCGAAGACAAAACTGTGGAGAAGAAAACGGGAAAACCCTCCAGTATTTTCCCAGTAAAATATGGCAATACAATGACCATAAAGAAAAAGCACCTTTGAGGGACTATGGTCACCTACGTTAAGAAAAGACATGCTTTTTTTAAAAAAAAATAGGGTGTTGTTCATATTTTCCATTTGACCATTAAAGATTACACCATCTCCTAGCTTCCTCTTTGAAATAGGATTGATCTCATCTAAGCTGCTCCACAAAAGTTTAGCAGAAATAACGATACTACATTTCTTACCCTGGTTGATTTGAGACCTACTATCTCTCTCTCTAATAATACACATACAGGCATATATATATATATATATATATATATATATATATATATATATATATGCGAATGTCAGTGTGTCACGCTTTTTTACTTACAACACTCTAATTTTTAAATATCTCATCTTCTATATAATGAATGCGAATGGCAGTCTGTCATTGTGTCACACTTTTTCAACTTTACTCTTAGAGGCAGTAGACCAACATGTCATATATTTTTGCGAATTAGGCCGATTCTGTGTGCAGATCAAAAAAAATTCCGGGTCGGATCCGAACACGCGATCCTGATTTTTTTACTCTCAAATTGTCATTACTACGATTGTTTTCAGCGATTGTTTACGTGATTTTTGTGATGAATTTTGTTGTACGATAACAATTTCTATAACTTAGAAATAATTTGAGAATAATTGAAATTAAATGCGAAAATCACCGAAAGTCACCCATAAAATAAAAATAATTGTTTGTACGCAACGTAAAGACCTACATACATCGAATTGTCTTTAGATTTAGTTCTGTCAGATGAATTATCGTTAAACTTTTAAAAGATAAGCTTAAAAATTACTGCAATACTTCAATGCGGGTATCAATTCTAAGTTTTATCTGTAGTTTATAGTGCATATAGCATACGGGTGCAGTGTTCCTCACAAAAAGAAATCTCCGCCAACAGAGGACGAGATTGCAATCAAAAGAGCCAAGTGTGCAGCGAGGAAAAGAAAATCCCAGATAAAACGGCAGCCAGGAGAGTTTACATTGCTGAGAACATGCAAAGACTCCTGAACAGGCTGATGGCCTAATCAAGAGACCTCCGATGGAGCTAGCTTAAATGCTGCCCGATAGCGATAGTATGTGTCTGTGTGTGTGTCTGTCCGTGTGTGTGAATATTTTATATAGTTACAGGGAGGAGATTATTTAAGAACATTGATAGAGAACTTTATCTGATCCTAACCCTAACAGGATCACGCCTTAACCCTGATTAGTTAAGGCGTGAATCCATAACGACTATTCAGAATTGGTTTCCGTATTTACTGTATTTCATACATATATATATATATATATATATATATATATATATATATATATATATATATACTGACTCTCTCGTCGAATTCAAGCAGATTACTTCCTAGGAAATTGTCAGCCAGACACCAGCACGTGAAATTTGAATATAGTTGTGAAGGTTTTGTGCAGAACCAACTACACTTTTTGAGAGAGGCAAATAGAGAGACTTGTTGCACTAAGTGCAACAGGGTCCCCAAACGACACTCTGCAGGTTTTGAATACAGAGTTGTTCTTGGGAAAGGTATGAATCGTCGTCTTCTCCCTCCAGCTATATGTGTAAATAGCAGGACAGACTGAGTTCTATAGCCTTTGATGGCAAATGGTTTAGGGAAGGACAACTCTATATATATATATATATATATATATATATATATATATATATATATATAAAGTCAACACATAGAGGCGACAGTCTGTTTCATGCTATATGCAATCGTCAGGCGGCATATAGCATGAAACAGACTGTTGCCTCTAAGTGTTGACTTCTATGTTCACTTTGATATTTACACACGCTCTATCTCTGATATTGAGCACTTTATTCCATAAATATGGCACACCTTAAGACTATATTTCTTTATATATATATATATATATATATATATATATATATATATATATATATATATATATATATATGTCTGTATAGATAGATAGATAGATAGATAGATAGATAGATAATAATCGTATGACATTCTCCTGTCTATTTTTTAGTCTTTTTTCTTTCTTTCTTTCTTTTTTTGTAATGTTAGCATTTTTTTCTCATCATTTTCTTTATCGTCTCCAGACGTTTTTCCTCGTTAGTTCAATCCTTTCTTTCTTTTTTTTCTTTTCTCTTCTTCTCTCTTCTAGCAGCCGTCCCCTTCTCTATCTTTCTTTCTTTCTTTCTTTCACACGGTGACTCTAATTCCTTCCTCTTTTGCTATCACACAATCTATCTTTATATCAATTTTGTAGACCACCAGGGAGACTGTCTAAAAAGATAAAGTATTCTTTCATTTTTAACCTGACAACCGGAGAAAATGATGATAAAGTCTCACTCGCATTAATTGAAAAATTTTCTTTAAAGAAAGTGAAGAAATTCGAGTTTCGTCTTTTTAACGCATCGAGACAAGAACCAATTACAGTTACTTTCAAACTAAAGAAACGAAAAGTATGTAATGAATGATTATTCAAAAGAAAGCTAATACTACGGTTAATTCGTTCAACGATGCCTGAGTGTAGCATTGAAATTTAATGCCGGAGATAATTAGGTTCAGTTCTTATTTCTTTCTAATTTGAAATTTTTTTTTAAAATCGCTAATAGAATATGAGTGGGTACTGAAAAGTTCACAGTCTTAAAAATTCAACAAAATCTGACCGAATGAGCAAATATCTGACTTTCGATAAGAGAGAATAAATTTTGGCGCGTTTCATCCTGAGATCGGTGTAATGGCAAAAGTACGCAAGTGTAGGCTTTAAGAAAGCTTTATCCCAAATGAAAATACAAGGTCCGCGTAGTGTCCTTTTATAGTCACAGTCATCAGAAACGGCTCTCTCAAAGAGGAGAGTAACGAATCAAAGGGAGACCACTTTTGATTATTCATAACAGTCGAATCAGTCATTTGTTATCAGGTGGATCTCTTGTAAAAGGACTTGCCGAATTTGTATGTAACGTCTAGTGTAATTTCGACTATTGACGGTTTTCAAAAAGAAAAAATACGAAGTCGAATGATAGCTTAGCTAGCATTTCAGTGGTCAATTCTGAGAATTTTTAAAAGAAATTAAGTTCTTATGACAGGGGAATTTATTTTAGCGCAACAGGAAACATAACGAAGACATATTGAAAACAAGTGGGACACAGAGAAACAGCGGGCAACAAGTATAACTACAAAAGATAGGACGTTGTGGTACAAGGCACACAAAAGAAGAGAAGAATGATGTTAAAGGTGACATTAAATTTCGAATTTCATTACAACCAGGATACGCCAATCTAGGAAAACAGACATTACGGTTTTAATATAATGAAAAATAGAAAAATAAAAATTAATTTTTACCATTAAAAAATTAAAAGAAAGACTAAGATAAATAAAAACATATCCTCGGGCAATTATACTCATCTTACATTTTTTTTATCATAAAGTTTCGGCCGTTGTGACCTCCTGGCTTTTCTCAGGTATATATCGATCTGGGTAACTTACAGAAATTTCTGAACGTAAGTTCGCTTTTTATGCCAGAGGAATTGATTTTGGCGTCACAGAAAATATACCGAGGGCATACTGAAGGCAAGTGAGACTGAAGTAAACTGCAAGTAACCTACAGAACAAGCTAGATTAAACAATTTATTTAATCTACGGAGGTAAAGTGTTCTTGTTCCACTGCTAGATTTATCCACTAGGAATATCGTCTAGTTCTTATTTTTATTCACTGCTGCTCTTTTGCTGCTTGGCCGTTTCCACTAAGTGCAGATACACACCGTCCAATCCAGGGATCAGAAAATGTCACAGAAAATGTCCTACAGATCAGTGGCCTAGAGAATTTGCTGAAATAGTCATTCTGAGTTCAAATCCTGGGTCGAGCAGTGTCTATTTGCACTCGGGCGAGCCGTACTTAATAAAAAATAAAAAAAGTATCTGAGCAGTATTAAATTTAAGAAGTAAAAGTTATTCCTAGACTTGAGCATTAAAACGAGAACGTAGATCAAATAAAGGTTTTAGTTCAGTACACAGATATACAGATCGATATACACACGAGGAAGACCACAACGGCCGAAACGTTATTATGAGGACAAAAGTTCAAATATAAATCGTGCAAATAATGATAACTCCTCATTCATGAAATACACAGATATACAGATCGAAATACCCCGGTCGAAACGTTATTATGAGGACAAAATATTAAAAGTGTAAATCATGGTAACTTCTCATCAAAGAAATTCAAACGGAGTGATATGTCTTTCATTCTCAAAAAGACTAAATGTTTTTTACTTTGTTTGATATCTGCATTTTTTATTCTATATCTTACTAACTCGCATCTCACTTTCTCTCACAGGAGAGAGAGAGAGAGAGAGAGAGAGAGAGAGAGAATCAGAGTTGAACCAATTGTAGTATAACGACTTTACTGAAATTTCAATAATGCTTCTCTTTTTTTTTCCCTAATTGCAGAAAAAGAACGTCGAAAATTAAGGGTCATACTATGAGGAATGGTGGAGATTAAACAATCACAAGAATTATGAAAAGAAGGCAAAAAGTGTACTACCTAATGAACTTGAGTGAATTAACTGTAGAGTGGAACAAAGAGCGATGTTAATGAGTTGAACGTTGCTTTAAGCAAAAAGAGACAGGAAGTAGTAGATAACTTTCCACGATCTGATGGGACACGGCTCATAAAAGAAGATTTTTCAATGTAACAATGTAATTATCAATGCGCTAATTAAGCATATTAATACGGAAACTGAACATAGAACAGGCTGCGCTAGGTTTAGTTTCGTCCAACACTGCTGGTTTCTAGAAAACCATAACATTAACCTAAAACCGAGATTTACGGGAACTTTTATATGGATATCATGCCTGGCGCTAAAATCGTTCAAAAAATATCTTTTTTTGTTCTTTGGTAAAGTCTTTTATGATTTTGGAGGGGTAGTCTATAAGATCTCATGAAGGATCGTTTTCTTAAAAACCCAGAGTATTCATACGCTTCAATCCATTTGTATTCATTGATCTGAGATAACGATTGAGCAAAGTTGATAGTTTAGATATTTCCAAGCGAGTTGGACTCAGTGTATGATCACAACATGAGAGCCTAAATTCGAGGAGCCTAGCGTTTACTCATTCTTTTCCGGGCGCCAACAAGAGATCTAAGTTCAGAGATGGCATCGTGACATTTAACACTGACCATATTTTGAGGAAAGACAAAAAAACCTAAGAAAGACCTACTTCAGAATACAATTTTTGTTTATTATTATTATATTATCATCATCAGATGGAATCCACCAAGTCTGCGGAAAGAAGGTCGTGGTGTGTTGGCACATTACATGTTAATTTTTTTTTTTTTTTTTATCTCCGATGAAGTTGCTAGCGTTAAGACAATTTTTGTTTAAGACAATTATGGTTGGGGTTTCAGGGATTCTTTCAATGTGTTGTTTTGTTCCATTTTTTAATTTATTACCATTATTATTCTTGTTTTATTATTTTTTTATTTCAATTTAGGTCTTTGTATTTTGATAGTTTTTCAAATTATTATGTTACAATTTCAATTAGTAGGAGTTTTTTTCTTTCTGGTTTTTGACAATAATGTGTATTCAATTTTTCTGTCCTAGAATGGTTCAGACCAGAGTGGCCGATGTTCATACCAGTGTTTGCTTACACATTTTCCAAAGTGTTTGCACATTGTCCAGTGTAAATTTTCTATCGTGACGATTTTATATTCATTTTGGGGCAAGTATAGAACATCCTGAGATTAGATGGTCTATTGTTTCTTGGTATTTGTCACAGAACCTGCATTTTGGATCCACATTATTATGTATGATATTTTGAAAATTCCTAGTGAAAAGACTCTGGTCTTGCGCTGCAAGAATAAAGCCTTCAGTTTCAGACTTTTCCAGATGCTCGTAACCATCGATGAGTATTAACTTTATCAACATTGGGTTTTTGCACGTTCTGGATATTGGCCATGCAGAGGTTTGTCTTAGCGTTGTTTCATCTGTTCAAGGGCTTTATCCTTGGCTTTTTTTTCATATTTTTTTAGTTGGTTCTGCTTTGTTTTATAGAATCTACTAAATGTAAATGTTGTTTGTATTTACTGCCTTCTTTTATTATTGAATATTTTTTCTTTCTGTTTTCATGTTGTTTCCAAATCAGAGAGTTATATAGTTGTTGTCATGACAATTCTAAATGTCTTTCGGGGTATGATATTGGATTCATCACTTAGAAAGCAGAATCCATTTTCTGATGTTTTAGAGTCCAGTTCAAATGTTGGTGGACCATGGGCTAGGTTATTATTATTATTATTATTATTATTATTATTATTATTATTATTATTATTATGTCAAATTGTTCAGACCAGAGTCCGAAATAGCATGAAATTTTTGAGAAATTTAAAACACACACACACATTTTTTTAGATAAGGCTTGTTAATGAGTTGGGCTGTTGTATAGACATTACCTCCTGAGTCCAAATCAGAGATATAAAGGAAATTCTTCATGATATTTTCAGAATGAGTCTAGTGGAATTTTTTACAACCAATTATTATTATTATTATTATTATTATTATTATTATTATTATTATTATTATTATTATTCCTATGTTTTCTATTCTATATACATTTCCTTCCGGCTCCCAACCAAAGATCTAAGGTCAGAAATGGCTTCATGACATTTCCCACTGATCATGTTTGTAAAAGAAGACGAAAATCTATGATCACACACATTTTACATAGATAAATCTCTTTGCAATGTGTGAGTTGTATTATTATTATTATTATTATTATTAGGATGATATTTTTGTCGTGTAGCATGTTGTAGTGTTAATCAAAATTGGTTAACACAGCCACTAATATTCAATTTCTGACTTCTACATAGTAGTCATTTCATGGCTATCATTTGTGTTATATTAGCAATACTTTCCACACAAAAAACACACTACGCATTCAACATTACACCAAACATTTTCCCATGTTAAATGTAATTATTATCGGTTACAATTAAAAGGTTATTTCATTGAACATACATGAAGATTACGTTATTTATTTAACGGCGATGTTTCGCCCCGAGAGTAAAGCAGTGACATCGTGGAAGCAAGAGGCATATAAGACTGTTGTTCATTGATATTCCTTGACTTTTGATTCTTAAGTATTAAGATGATGTATCATTGGCCTAGTGTTGCTGCTTAACTTTCGCTAACATCGTATAAATGGAAGTGCGAAAATCAGTGTGATTTCTTGCTATTAGGGACTGAAATTATGGAACTAAATAGTGGAATTCATTTGAACATTTACCATGAAAATAGCAATACAGTAACTATAGGCTTGTGACATTGTGTCTGTGAGAAAAAATTTGCAGAGTAGAAAAATAAGTCTCCCTTCACAACACCGCGTAAACGGTTTTGAAACCTTGTCCAAATATGGCATCACCACTCAAATCTGGGTCTAATCCGATTATTATTATCAAAAAAAAAAGAAAAAAAACAGCAGAATTATTTACATTATTTACATTATTCGAACTGTTATCACCATCTTCATTGTCCTATTCACAACGATTCCGCCGTTGTACGCACTGGCCTTCTTCAGGCGATTGGAATTTCGAACCGAATACTTAATTTCGTCCACCGGGGTAGATTCTTCTAGTTCCACGTGACATGCCTCTTCCCGATGTCTCAGTTATATCCCTTTAACTTAACTCTCCAAGTTTTGGTTCACCACTGCTGTAACACCTCATCTCAGAGATATAGCCAGATATAGAACGGCAGACGTCTGTTAATCTCGATCAGTAGAATGTGCTAACACTTTTCCCAGCATATTTGGAAATGGATCATAAATATGATTTCCACTTAAGGTCTGGAATGAACTTGAGTCAAAATAGATGGATAAACTAGAGTTCAAATAGATTCTCGAACCATAGAAGACTCCCGGTCCGATCGGTGAGGAGAAAAATATATTTGAATTTTATTATTCTTGTAATCACTTTAGTTATTGTTTGAATTTTATTATTTTAGCAATTAGTAGACTAATTTTATTTCTGGGAAGCACAGAAAACATTATTGAACGTAGGCGAACGATAAAACTCAGAGACGGCGAGAGTATTAACGAAAGCAATAGTAATGTGACATGGCGTGTACGACAAACTTGACTTTCTTTTCTCCACTTCTCAGCTAATCTATTTCTTATTAACCTGTGCGATAAAGAAGGCAACGATAAGTCAGATATCTGTTCTTAATAATAAGTTGTCCGCTGTAAATGTTAAACTAGCGTCTGAACACAAGAGATAACCTTCTAAGAAAAAGTAAAGAAAAACACATCCACCTAGGCGGAATTATATGAAACAGCAAATCACACTTCCAGAAAGACGGGTATAGCATAACATTTGTGCAATTCTAAAAGGAAAACTTGTGAAATGTACTTTTTTGAAAAACAGAATTGTTTAGCAATGCTCTACTAGTAAAGAAGAAAAGGTTGATATCAACAGTCTTGTCTTTGAGAACAATTTTGTTGACAGAGATCCGACAGAGATAAAACATACGCGGACAAGTGCAAACAGTCTGCTGAGTTCATTCATCAAGATACTAGATGTTGTAAAAGAAAGTGCGGTATTTTTTCTGTCTGCAAACCTCACTGTACCTCGTAAGGAAATGCGGGTATTTTAATATGCTAAGAGATGTTTTCTATTCTTTGTTTGTGATTATGCAACGCCAGTCCATGAGGTTCAAACAAAGAAGTTTCCTGCTGAGACTTGCGCACTTCATTCGTTTGAGGCCATTTTTGATCCTCGTTCTTAGAAAGCTGTTTTATACAGCTGACTGTGTCTATGTCTCTGAACGAGTTTGGCACCATGCACGGCATCCATTTGAAGATCCACATCTGACATGACTGTTTAAGAACATGACTGTTTTAGGCTATTGTTTTGATTTTGTACTAGCTTCTGATATTGAACCAAACTACAATTAACTTGGCTCATTCTATGTTCACATTCAACAGACAATTCAATTTTTTTTATTTTATTTTTCAATTTCCGAATGCGGTGTTGTATAAGGTGATCCGAAAGTTTTTCACCTTTACATAATATACTTTGTCTATTTCAACGCTATGTGAGGTATTATTGAGGAGAGCGTTTCACATAATATACTTTGTCTATTTCAACGCTATGTGAGGTATTATTGAGGAGAGAGTTTCACATAATATACTTTGTCTATTTCAACGCTATGTGAGGTATTATTGAGGAGAGCGTTTCACATAATATACTTTGTCTATTTCAACGCTATGTGAGGTATTATTGAGGAGAGAGTTTCACATAATATACTTTGTCTATTTCAACGCTATGTGAGGTATTATTGAGGAGAGAGTTTCACATGAACGATACCAGAATACCCATCAGTTATAGGACAACGTTCGGAGAGCATTTGCAAC